AATAAACAGCTAATTTCAGCGGCCTATTTTATTTTCAGAAAAAAAAATAGAATTTATGTTCTGTCCTAAATAAATTGTGCCGCACGAAAATCCCGTACTCGGCTACGCCCTCGATAAAACACCTTACCGCTTACCGGGCTAGTAACGTAATACAGTAGGCATATACTATTATTTTCTTTATACCTACTGCATTTAGATAAGGTGTTTAAGTTTCTTAAGCAGCCATTCACAGTTTACAGGTGGTTCTGATGTGTGTTTCTAAATACTGCAACAACTCTATGATTTATTTTAAATACCCCCCGCAGCAAACCTGCAGAATAAACGAATTTCCATTTGCTTGATTGGATTTACATTATCTCCTTAAAATATCAAAAAATTATTCCCTATTTCAATATTGCATTAGTTTAACAAGTACTTAGGTATGTTGTAACAGGGAGGGTTTTAAAGGGTTTTTTTGTAATATTATTACATATAGGTAGTTTAGTATGAAATAAATGCATTTTCAAATTTTGATCAAAAGATGTTCATAAACAAGCTAACTACAACAGTTTACTTATTCTCCATAAGAATAACATAGGTTGTTCAAAGGTTTATTGCGGACATTTTCCATCACGAATGTAAAAAACAATACACAACGTTTCATAGGGATTTTAGGGATTTTAATAACAATAACATAGGGATTTTAAATTTAAAACTGTTTGAGTTTTCTCCGTAACCATTAGGCAACTGTTTGAGTTTTCTCCGTAACCATTAGGCGCATAATAATGCTTCAATATACTAAATAATTTGTTTTTAAGCTCTACAAAATAGTTTAGAAAGAAATTATTGCAAAATTTTATGACGTCATTGCTTTTAATGGATCGCCATATTGGCAATGGAAAGGTTAACAAAAGAATCAAAGCATCTGCAGAGGCAAATTAACGCAGTTTTTTTTTCATTTCCTCATTTCCGGTGTAAGTTGCTGATACAAATGTACTACAACTCATTTAATATTTCAAAGTGTAACAATGAACAACGTAAAATTGTTATTTGGGTTAATCTTTTTTAACACTAAGCTAGCAAGTTAAATGAAAAAAAAACTATGTACTATATCATTATAATTTCAAATATATGTATGATTGAAAAAACTTGGATGGATACCATAATCATCCTCTGTCAAAGTTTGGCCTAGGTAGCACGTTTTAACTACCTTCTTACACGAAAAAAAAACAGTCAATAAATCATAATACAAGTGCGACAAATGTCAAATTATTTTAAGCCTTCAAACGGCAGAACACATATTATATACACAAGATAGTTGAGATAGCATTGACAAATTTGAAGGAGAAGGAGACTGCAAGCGCCGTGAATAGAAGTCGTTCGGAGTTTAAAAAAGAACGACTCTCATTATACTCAACCGATCTGTTCAGCAAGAACTGTTCACCTTCAATTTGAATCTCCCGCTCTTTGTCGATCTGTTTTGCTTGTCGACATTTTGCGTGTCGATAAAGTGGGAAAATTTACACAACCGTCCCACATAACAGACATCCCACATAACCGACATCCCAAAATTTCTACGGTTGTCGATATTATGGAACCCACCCTCATTTTCGACGTCGGTTATTTGGGATGTCGGTTAAGTGGGAATATTCCAGTGTCGACAAACTGGGAATAATTCAGTTTCGATCAATTTCTACGGTTGTCGATATTATGGAACCCACCCTTTAGAGCCATTCGTCCCATTCCCATAAGATAACACGGCAGACAGGGGACACCAGCTTAAAATGTAAATATATGTACATAAATCAATTAAAAGATTGAAAATAAAACTATAGAATTGAAAAACAAAACCATTATAAATTGAAAACGATTTCTGTACATTTAAATCGGTGTCAATATATTCATAGCCAAGTAACCAAGCTTTCCAATACCATTAGCAGCCTCGAAAGAAAACAGCTGTTACAAAACTACTTGTGACGTTGCCGGAGTTAAAGGTGCCGTGGTTGACTATGCATGCATACCGCCACCTTTGGTCGTAAACTGGTAGAATTGGCAACGTTTCAAGTAATGCTGTTTAGCGCCAGACGTCCCATAAGATATAAAGAATAAAGATCAATATTTTCATAGTCCATTAACCAAGCTTTTGTGTTCTTAAAAAATACACAAATACCATTAACTGTCTGACCAAAGGCCCCACTAGAAAAAAACAGGCCGTGCTGCAGGATCCATGACGTTACACTAGTGGATAGATTTCATTGATAAATTCATTTCCAAAGAAAACAGCTATTATAATACATCACTAGCAACTTTGCCACTTCGAAGGCCGCGGCCTGGAGTTAAAGTTGGCCGTGGTATTGTTGATTTATTATTGTCTCTAAATCTAAATATATCTTTCATTTCCATTATGTTGAATTGTCAATTAGGCATGTATTTTCCCAGTGGGTAAATAAATTGTACAGGCACCAAGCTATTTTGAATCATTGGGGACGGCAGTACGGTACTTTGTAATTTTTTTATCAGCCACCTTATCTTGATCGGGAATGAAAACAAAACTAAATAATACATTTCACTCTATTCTGGTTTCATACTAAATTCATATCCAGGTTGATTAAACTATGCTACATTCTGTCGGGCAATTTAATCTTGCTTTATATTATTAAAGTGATACAATCAAATTTAATGTAAATGGTTATAGTACCACCATAGATAAAACATACTCCGTACCATAACCAAATAAAATAGGCATATGGCACATCAAAATGAAGCTCAGAGCATGTAGATTTGCTGAAAAATATTGGTATAAACGAATTCTCTTAAAGGCGGTCACACACTATCGATCTTTTCCTCGATCAATACCCCGAACCAAGCAGGGGAAAGGGAGGTAAATATCAGCAAAATTTCAATCCGAACATATCCCCAAACAAGATTATCCCAACAAGACCAGACGAGTTCTACCGAGCGCGGCAAAAGTGAGTTTAGAGAGAGATTGAGAGCGTGTGTGAGTGTGAGTGCGGAGGCAGTAATAATAAAACAGTAATAAGAAATCAAATACAATGTTACAGAATTATAATTTTAATTGCCTTTAATAATAATAATGATTATTTTAATTTTGGAAGACTTTAAGTATAACATCAATTACTTAATTCAAGCTTAACATTATTGATGTCATTGATTTTACGGTTTCAACTAACTTGTAAAATACATTTTCAACCTTGACCAAACAAACCACAAAATTACTACATAAATGTCCATAATACATAACGGCAAAATATTACCCAACATTTATTTATTTTACCAGTTAACGAGTAAAACTGCCACATTAAATTAGAACTATCAACGGTAGCGCAGGCGGCCGCTTGGTACGGCGCTCATGTATATTTGTAGTCCTGGCTCGCGACGGCGTACGGGACAAGAATCAAGAATATACTGTGACACACTACCGTACATCATTCTGTACATCGGACCGATCTTTTCTTTGTTATTTCACAAAAAAAAAACCTCCAGAGTGCTCATCTCCTTGCTCGGCCTGATGTCTGGTATGCCGTCTGGATCGGTGTAAGGACCCCTGACACACTATCGAACATCCCTTTGGCCTCCCTTCTCCCTGCTCGGTTTGGGGTTTTGATCTGGGAAAAGATCGATTGTGTGTCACCGTCTTAAGGCTCTGCCCCTATTCGTATTTATATTATTAAAGTGATACAATCAAATTTTATATAAACGGTTCATGTCATCTATAAGTATAAAAGAGGATGTTTGTATATATATTTGTTTGTTTGGCAGTGATAAACTCAGTCACCGCTGAACCGATTGCCACGAAACTTGGTACATACGTGTAGAATGTCATGGAATAAGTTTATACACCATCAATTTCGTGATCCGTCCAATCGGCTCCGCCCCAGTGTTACACCTCTGTTACGGTACGATCACAGCGAAATCAGAAAGATCTTCCAAGATCACAGCAACATCCACGATCACCCACTGCAGTTGTGATTTTTTACTTTGCACTTAACACAACTGTCCTTGAAGCGCCGTCAATGAGTGGAAACCTTTGTAAGCTACGGTATTGGTGACGATGATTAAAAAATGTAAGTTTCCTTGCACTAATACAACACTGATTCACGGTATTTTCCCCGGACTCAAGAAACTCAAGAACAATAGTTGCACTTGCGATTAATTAAACCGGTTAAGTAAGGCACAACGTTCTTAATCTCACTTGGTTTGGATGTGCTAACAAAACTTGATCGGAAATGGTTGCGGTATTTGTAAACAACTTTTAATGTAAACATATCGGTGACAGCTAGAAGTGAGAACTAATCCAAACAGCTGATCGTTATTTCATAAAATGTAATAGTAAACATTGGGAGAAGATTTGACAAAAATCGATCAAAAATGAGTTTTTGGTGATTTGTTATTTTGTTTTCAAAGAAGCGAGGCCATGTTTTTATAGCCAAAGACACTCTCACCAATCCAGTAAATACGGGAAAATGATTAGAACCTTGATCGGTACTCTAGATTTCTGGGAGTAGGCCGCGTAAAATGACATTTTGGCGTTACAGACGGAGTCACAGAATGGACAGACAGACATACAGACAGAAATTGAGATAAGGCTCGTTTCGGCTTTCTTAGGCTATGAAACGTAAAAATAACCAAAAACTGCATGATTCTAAGCAATGTACAGACAAAACTGTAATTTTTTTTATATAGATTGTAACTTAAATGACCATTTAATGCTTCACACCATAGACTACCCAACTACCAAAAACCAGCCTTAAATCTGTGCTTGTATGAAAATCAGTGATTAACAACTCGTAACTTATAACTATAAACTTATTGAAAAACTTAAGTATAGTAAGAAAAGAACCCTCCTATAATGTCCTGGCTTTCTTATACCAGACAGAAAGTACCGCTATTTATATTGGATTTTAGTTGCGGTGTCGTAGTGAAGTAACGTCAACGTCAGAAAAGAAAACAGAAACAGGACAGGACTAAGTTGCCTGAATGCCTGCTTGCTTGCTTGCTTGCTTGCTTGCTTGTCATAGATCATGTGTAAACGAAGGGAGTGATGCCGTGGACACGTAAATAATTCTTTTGGGGATTTAAATTTTCTGTGTTGAGTGAATGAGTTTTGTGTTATGAAGAACTATTATACCTATCATTGTTGGATGTAAGTAGTTTTTCACTTCATTAAATTGTGTAGTCTGTATTTTAAACTGTCTCGTAGCCTGTGGAATTTACACGTTTAAAACGAAATACCTAGACCTAGGCCTACCACTCTCTGACGTTGTTATGTATGCTTTTAACTGACTTGAGTTTTTCAAACAAGTTTTTACTGATTTTATTTGTTATTATTTTATAGTAGTTTTAAACGCCAAATGGACTGGTAGACTTTAAATGCCTGTGAGATAATTTTAAGGGCCTAATAAACTTATTAAGTTAGTCTGTAGGCTAATTGGGCATAGGCCTAGGTATAATACCCAGAAGGCTTAATAATCAAAGGTCAAACTTAAATTAAGTTTTAATTTAATATATGAATTGAATTTATCAAACAAATCTTCTTGTGTCAACACAAAAGGACCCAATAGTAAAAAAAAGCTTGTTAGCCTTTTTGTCATCAACAATGGTAAGTACTAAGACTTCCACGATATATCATCGGATGATTAACGATAATATAGGCTTTTGAAATATATTGATTTTATCTTTGACAATATCATAGGTACCGGTGCCTAGTGATTTTAACTGTACCATTTTATGATAACTTACCTAAATAATAACAACAACAATAACATTGACAAATCTTTTTATTCATTTTATCACTTGATTACACTTAAATATTTAATAGGCCTAGTAAAAATGGAAGAAATGGTGAATTCTTAGATATTTAGGCCTATATGCGTGCCATGTCAACATAATTTAAAATTGTTTGTAGTTTTAGCGAATTTCCCACTATAAAGAATAAGAAAACCGTAGTAGCCTACTCATGGTAAGACCTGGACCCGGGACCGATTTATTTTTTCGTTTTGAGGTCCCTAGAGGCCAAAAACACTGTTTGTTCAAATTCACATAGGCTACCGTACATTTATATATAGGTATATATGTTCGTTAGCATGATAACTCGAGCAAAAATGATCCGTTTTTGATGAAATTTGGTACAAATGTGTAAACCTACATTTATTCAAACGAGTATGGGAACGGGGGTTTAGGGGGGGTTTTATGGGGTAAAAATAGGGTTTTCCCATTATTGACCCTAAAAACACAAAATTTTACAATTTATTTCCAAACCATTTTGTAGAGCTTAAAAAAACAAATAATTTAGTATATTTAAGTGTTATTGTGCGCCTAATGGTTGCTGAGAAAATTCCAAAAAATTGTAAATTTAAAATCTCCATGTTATTCTTATGGAGAATAAGTCAACTGTTGTAGTTTACTTGTTTATGAACATATTTTGATCGCATTTGGAAAATACATTCATTTCTTACTAAACTATTAACATAAAAAAAACCACCTTTTTACCCTCCCTGTTGCAGCAAACCTAAGTACTCGTTAGGCCTAAACTAATTCTATTTAAATCTATACTCTATACTATTATATAAAAATCTAATGGTGTCTGTCTGTATGTGTATTACTAATAGGTGTGAAAAATACTGAAACAACATAGCTTAAATTTTACAAAAATATAGTTACCATACCAAGGACCATTATAGGACTATTCACACTTCAATACTGACCGTGGGCTTTGCCCCTTTGGCTTCAAAAGTTCTGAGGTGAGGATTTTAAAAGTAAATATTGATTGGTCACCATGGCAGCAATGAGAATACTCACAATGTTTACATTTGCTTTGACATTTCAAAATAAACAAGAACTGCCAAATTGCATATTTTACAATTTAAGACAGCTGATCTAATGAAATGAAATATAATATTTCAAACAATTATGTGGTTGGTGTATAATAAAAAAAAAATTCAATGTCAATGATTATAGAAATAAATAAACAGTATCAGTATTCTGACACATACTTTCTCCCATAAGTTTGTCAACAACCTTTATCATGTGTAAGCGGTGAGAGTAAATATACGGAAATGGGATTTGTACAATTTTGTTCAGAATTTAAAGGACAATAAAATACAAAATTTTTATCAAAATTGTTCGGGCCATTTTTGGGAAAATCTGATTTTCCGTTATTTTATGGGGTTTTTTATGGGAAAATAACATAATTTACAATAACTTTTGAACCATAATTTTTACAGAAATGGGATTTGTACCATTTTGTTCAGAATTTAAAGGGCTACAACATACTAAATTTTTATCAAAATCGTTCGGGCCATTTTCGAGAAAATCTGATTTTTTTATCTGGTTATGGGAAAATCCCCATTAAAAATCAGAATTTCAAAAAAATAAAAAAAAGCATGGAGATACCATGGATTAGAACCAACATACCAAATTTCATCGAAATCGGACCACAGGTGTAGTCCCTAGCTCTGTACACATCCAGACACAACAATATTTCTAAAATTTATAACAGCTGAGTTAGTTTTGATAATGATTTATTGTGAGTGAAGAAACTGAAGATGGAAGGATTTGTGATTTAATACGAAGAAGAGTGAAATTAAATCATGTTCATTTAAATTTAATTTTAGCGTTTTTGCAACTTCAAAGTTGAAATTTAAAACGTGAAAAATAAAGAAAAAAGGTATGTAACTAAGGGAGATTAAGGTAAATCATGTATGTGAAAGTTGTATTCAAAGATTTGGTCAGTTTTTTCTCATATCAGCCTACACAAGATTTAAAATTATTCAAAACCAAAATGGTGGTATCCACTAATTACCAGATATAAAAGTTATAACTTAAGCGTTTCTAAGGCCATGAAAGTTTAATTTTGTTTCTAAAAGCGTTGGTGGATGTGTAACTATTATACGCAACAGATGTAAAGATTAAAATGTTTCTATTTTGTGTCCTCTTCCCGTTGCAAAGCACGAGTACAACAGCTAGTAGGGAATAAATATGATATAGGCGGGAAGGATATAGGAGGAATTTTAATGTGAAATCCTATCAGGCTAATGGAAATTCGCTTAGTCTGCAGGTTTGCTGCGGCGGGGGTATTTTAGTTTATTGCCTACCTACACGTATTTCTTAAAATTGTTATCAATAATGTAGGCTTATGTTTTGATTATGGGTTTTAGTTAATTTTCATATGGTAAAATGTTTTGTTTTTTTTGTCTACACTTTAGTTTACTTCCTACACTCATTTGAATGAGTATATCGTTCATAATATCAGTGTAACTTATATTAAGTTAGTTATAATATCAATCAATGTTTAAGTTATAAGTTAAGTTATTTTATAATAGGCCGATGCCTATAAGTTATTCAATCAAAAACAAAGTTTTTGATGAACGTTACCGTAACAAAACAAACAATAACTTAACCAAAACTTGATATGACTACTGCATAGGGTTAGAAAATGTATAGCCTAACTTAGTTTCTTCCAGTTTTAGGCTAAGTAGTCGTACAAATTGAGGATAAAACCAAGGATAAAAAAAACAACTTAAACTTATTAATTTTGTTGTTGTTTTTTTATTTATTTCATTTGGTAAAATTAATTCGATGCAATATTAATATCGAGCTGAATCATAATCGATATAGGCTATATTGTTATTTAATCCGATAATATATTGCAGGTTTGTTACAGAACTGTACCAAATAGCCTAAACTTAATAGAATGTTTAGCGGGACACTATGAGAGACTCATTAGGGACAACGCATTTCATTGTCTATTATTGTTATCAATTTCGTTTTTATTATTGTTAAATCTAGTCATAAGCACAGATATTCACTAAGTTGAAGCTGTCAAACTACTGATTATCTTTGTAAATTGGTGTATTGCCGTTGGTAAATAAATAAATAAAATAAATTAGGCCTGTCTATTACCTTCTTTGCTTGAAACCAGTTTGCACTGGATAAACTGTGTCCAACAATTTATCCTACTAATATTATAAGTGAGAAAGTTTGGATCTATGGATAGATGTTTGTGACAAGTAAACGCGAAATAGGCCTAGGCCTATGTACAATATTTACACAACTTCCTAGTTGGAGTTATCACTGTCCAACAAATGGTGAAATCATTCTAGAAAAATGCACTCAAACTATAGTAGAGCTTTTCTCTTATGAGAAAAGCCCCCCGCCCCTACAAGGTCCGACATGTCGGCAGACTTGCCCGGTCTGCAATCCGTCTGTCAAGTCTGGCTGTTACTGCACACGATCCGACCAGTGTTCCGACTGCCATTTCGTCTGCAGAATCTCCGTGTGGCTTCTCGGTATTATTCGGTCAGCATTGATGGGCCTTCACACTTCAGTTTGGGTCGGATATGCTTTTATCTTGAAGATGACAGCTCTCCTCGCAAAAAACTAAATGTATGGAGTTGAAACTTATTTCTTTGCATATTCCTGGTCTTTTATGAAGCAGCTTGAAATACCAGTGTATACGTCATCAGGGCCAGCTACGTACACTGCTCTTCGAATTTTCAACTTTTTAAAATTCTTGTCGGTAACATGACCTAAAGTTATCGATCTTCTTCTGTACAAATTTGATTGTAGCTTCTGGTTCAATTACATGAAGTTTTTCCAGCACTTAAACTCACTTTCCTCAAGTGTTTGTTGCTGTATTGTATGTCCTAAAAGTACGCCATAGGCCTAGTCCTGCACAATACAATAAAGTCCCCCCTAAACCCTTTGTTGTTACTGCACATTTGTAATCTTCTTTACTCTTAACGTCCACAAAACAACCTGAATCAACTGCCAGTACGCAGACCAAGTCTGTTGAGCCCATACACAGTCCGACACAGTCAGTTGTGTCGGCCAAGCCCGTCTGGCATTCTCAACAGACCGTGGACTTGTCCGATTGTCTGCAGACACACGGTCCGACATGGTCTGGTTTGGATTAGTCGGCAGACATGTGTATCATGTAACTTATCGATGTATAGATGTGTATCATGTATGTAAACAGCATCTTAGAAATTAGTTCATACCCTATTCTTTTTTCAATCTAAGGGTAGGCCTATCTCCCTTATTTGTGAACCATGTTTCCTGGGCTAAATTTGGTATTGTTAAAATTGTCTACATAAAACCACCACAGTAGTTTTGTTTACCTAGGCCTACGTAGTTTTTATGTTA